GAATCTTCGATTATGCAATTAATGTATTCTAATACAGGTAAATCTAATTATTATTATTAATATATAGTATGATACTCAAAATATTATTTTATTTTAAGTAGACGATTCTATAATTACTAATTCAATTGATGGTAAAAATAATGATGTTCAATCTATGTCTACACAATTGATGCATGATAATAAAGATAAAATCAAGTTTTCCTGAATTAAAACCTGTTTTAATGTTATTTTTATTTATAAATCATATAACGCTAATTAAAAAAAAAAGTTCAATCTACATCAACACAATTAATGCATCTTAATGCAGATATTCTAGATTAAAACTTGTTTCAATTTTTACAAAACTTTATTGAAAAGATTATTATTTGAAATAGACGATATTATAAAATTTACTAATTTAGTTGATAATAATAATGGATCAACACAAATATTTGAAGAATATAAATCCATACTTCTTGATGCGCTCAAAATTGTACAAGAACAAGAAAATGCTAACAACATACAATGGACACAGTCTGTTCAAGGAAGTTTCAGAGGCATTCAAAATTTAGTAACAGATATTCAATCCTATAGAAGAAGGCTAACCAACCCGCGTACTTGGAAAGATCATAATCAACATACAATGTTCTTATACTAAAATGTAAGTATTTAATAAATTTTTTTTATTAATTCAATTTCTAATCTATAATAATATTTAGAAGGCGACAGCAAAACAATCTTTTAACCTAACTCAAAGGTAATATAAATATATGCTAATTGTATCTTTAGCGAGGTATATCAACTATATATTAACTTCAATTAAAAACTTATAGTGTTCCCAGATGAACTTCAAAAACAATGCTAAAAACTTTATTAATTTGAGATACAAAACACTAAGTTGCTTTAAAAAAAATTCCCGTGGTTATTTTTTTTATTATGCAAAATAAATATAATTGGCGGGCACTTTAACTAAATCTATAGATTGTTCTTGTATGTGACCATGTTATTAGATGTTATTGGATATATATAACTTATATGTCTAATTATTATTGGTATATAATTAAAAGCCGACTGAATATGAAATTTAAATTTTTATAAATTATTCATACTAGTATTTGCTAATAATTTTTCGACATAATTATTTATGTTGAAATTAAAACTGGCAAAGGCCCAATCATTTATAAACGCATAATTTGAAGTAAAATCATAACTTATTTACAAGATTTATTTTTAATGATTCTTAAAATATCAGATATCATAGTTTTAACAATATCCTTTTAATTTCATTTTCGATTACATCTTTCTCTGCATTTATTAAACGATTTCATACTGAATCGTGCCTACAGAATTGAACAAGATGTGAAGATCAGGATTAGGTTGCATATTATTGGCCCCTTCCAGAGAGGCATGCCTTCAAGGGTTTACACAGATTAGAAAATAATTCATTACTTTAATATATAGGATAGATAAAAATAATATTATCTTTTATCATATAGAATACAATAAGATACTTTCAATATTCGTAACAATTCTCATATTGTAACAAACATTGGATAAATACTCTAAAAGGCGGCCAATTTAGAATTTGAAAAGTGCTG